TAATTCCATCAGAGATTCATCTGAAAGTAATTATGAATAGACGAGAAGACGTCTATATGGTATTGAAAAATAAACGTGAACTGAAAATTTCAATTTCAATGTACAGATTAGTAACGATGAGTCAATTCTTTAAGAGGTTCTCTTGCAATTTTATGAACGAAAACAAAACGAGAATAACATATACATCAAATATGTTTATCGCTTTCCTTCTATCAGTAATTCAAAAAACTCGACATAAGATTCGGTCACGTGAATATTCGTTCTTTGAATTATTGTTTTGGTGATTTCAAAGACTCTGTCAAAAATAACATTTCAATAAATGGAGCCACAGAAACATAGCTCGCTCCAGAATATCCAGATAAATTTGTTACTATACCTAACATCAACTTGATACGTATAGACCGTGATGGTAGAAGTGGTGGAGTATGTTTTTTCATCAAATCACTGTATAAATACAAATTATACTACTCTTCTATTTCGGCAAATGGTCTAGAGCAGCTATGGATTATAGTCAATATAAACAAACAAAAAGTAGCCTGTATAGTTTATCGACCACCAGGAACAAATGTGGAGGATATGCAGGAGTTAGATGATGTACTGGAACGAGTGTATTTGGAAACATCTGCTGTGGTGTTAGTTGGTGATATTAATATTAATTTGTTAAACTGTGACTCTCGCGACACTCATCTATTCACTGCCCTAGTTTTTAGTTTCGATATGAATCAAATTATAGAAAATTCTACTCGGATAACAACAACTTATGAATCTCTGACCGTATATCACTTATGATATCAGATTGATGATGAAAACCCGTGACAGAGCTCATGCCAAATATCTTAAAGAAAAGACAGCAGCTAGACATTACTATGTAACTTTACGCAACTACGTCAATGACGCAATAAAACGTGAAAAAACAACATATATACAATTTGTTTTGAAAAAAATAAAAACAATTCAGAAATGACTTGGAGAAATCTTGATGATGATATTTTGACTGCTATCAAAGAAATAAAATCTAATGCTTTAGGTATTGACTATATAAATTCCAAGATGATTTCTTTAGTGATACACTGTATTGATGAAGTTAAACATATTTTCAACGAATTCTTCAGACAGGGTAATTTTCCAGATGTTTGGAAGGTTGATAATATAATTCCAATTCCGAAAAAGATGAAACTTACCACGTTCAGTGACCTACGCCCCATCAGCATTCTGCTCTCATTCTCTAAAATATTCGAGAAAAATGTTTCCTGTCCAGTAAGAGCTTTTCTTTTGAAGAACATCGAATACTCCCGTACGAGCAGTGTGGATTCCGCAAAAAACATGGAACACAGACTGCCCTCTTGAAAGTAATCGAAGATCTTGCAAGATTCAGAGATCAATCAAAAGTCACCATTTTAGAACTGCTTGATCAAAGTAAAACTTTCGATTTAGTTAATTTCGATTCACTCCTCAGCAAGCTCAAGTTCATAGGATTCGATGACATTTCTCTTAAATGGATGACCAGCTATCTCATAGGCCAATCACACAGGGTCAAACTGAATGATTACTCATGGTTATCCGGTCATCCCTAAAAGAAACAATCTCAGATGTACCGCAGTGAAGTATTTTACGGGCCTTGATGTTTTCAGTGTTTATTTTTGATTATTCCACTTTCTTATCACATTGTCAAATACATTTTTACCAATTTAAACCAATCGGCAGATTTTTTAAAATTTAAAATCAGCCGAGTGGTTTCAACTATTTTGTTGCTAATACTCAAGGTGTATTTGAGTATACTCCTGGTGAGCAACAAATTCGAAACACTTTTTGTTCTAAGGAAAACCAATTTCAAGATAGCAAGAACGAGAAAAATGAAAAATAGAATTAAAAATCTGCCAATCGGTTTCAACTATTTTGTTGCTGAAACTCAAGGTGAATTTGAGTATACTCCTGATGAGCAACACATTTGAAACACATTAAAAAAAAATAATTCAAAATTTTTTCGCTATATACAAGGTTTAGCAACTAAATATTCTGTAAAGATCAAAGGGAAACTATATAATTCATTGAGTTACCTTGCTACCTTGATATCACGATAGCATTATTTGTGATTTCTAAGGATCGGCACGAGCAACAAAATCGTTGTTCTGGCAACTAATTAGCAACTAATTAGCTACAAATTGATGTATTTCTTTTGCAATTTTGCTGGACTCGCCTGGTTAGCCTGATAGGGCTATCCAATTAAGAGAAACCAAGCCATGCCCACTAATAATAGTACAAAACCAGAATCAAATACAACCATCGTAGCGGAGGCGTTCGAAACAACGGGAACATCAACAACGTTACCACACCGTCTTTGCTAATGTCTACCGCAGTAGTATACGAAACGTCAGGCATAAAAACCTGCAGACCAAGGTCAAAAAACTAGCTTTGACAAGATTAGATAACATTTTTTTAAATGAAATATTTTTCATTCATCTGTTGAATTCCGATTCAGTGTCAAGCTTCGTGGAAGTTCCTCAGTTGATGCGTTCCCCGGTCGCTTGGATGTCGTAGCGATTGAACAAGGTCAAAAACAGTCTGCTTTATACGAGATAAAGTCACTCCCACTTATTCGAGATTTCAAATCTGATATGTAAGGTGGAATTTGCGTGAGAAGATTGATGAGTAGGTATAAAATTAAGTCCTTTCTATCAGAAATTTAAAATATTTCAATCAATAAATCTCAATGAGGAATAAAACGCAGGAGATACAAAAACTCACATGTGATAGCCACAAATCCCCTCATAAAATGAATTTATCAAATTCCAACCACATGAAGGATTTTAATGAATAATAATGGCCAATTACGAACTAACTAACTCCAACAGATTATTTCATGACAGAGATGAATCGAGAAATTTCTTCATTCACATTTTTTTAATTCATGAAAAATATCCAGGATAACTCTAACACGTTCAAATTAAATTTCACAATGATAAAGAATATCAGAAATAGTTCACAATATTTCACTTTGCCCTTATCGAGAGGAAATGTGAGATGTTTTATACTATTTTACACTAATACAGACGCCACCCATGCCGATGTCGCTTTTCCCCGATTCATTAGCGCACCGAAGTTAAAAATTATACAGTGCTTTTCTTTAATTTCCTCCTCCTCTTTTATTTTCTGAACGGATCAACTCAGAAAATTGAAATTTTGGATAATGAAATTAATGCATGAATACTTTATTTTGAAGTGAAATTGACAGATGAAAATTTCAAGATGGCGACTGGGCGCCATCTGGAAAAAAAATTTAATGGAAAGGGGATCCTGTGACACATCTTTTGAAGTTCCCGACAAATGCTTCACAACCCTATAATATAATGTCAATATATCTTCAACTACTACAAAATGACGAAACTTTTAATAATTGCTGAATACATTGATATTTAACTACATAATATGAGGTAATAAGCTTGAGGTCAGTTCAGAAGATGCTCGAAATGGTTGCCTTGAACTTCTTGACATATGAACAGCCTATCGGTTATTTCACGCCGAACATTTTCGTACACATTAACGTCAATATCTTTACAAATATTCATTATTCTCTGCCGTATATCCAATATTGAAGCAGGTTCAGTTTCGTACACCTTTTGATTCAATTAGCCCCATAAAAAAAGTTCAAAGGTGTTGAATCTGGCGAGCAGGCTGGCCATTCTGTAGAACCTCAACGGTCAATCCAACGACCGGGAAAAGTTGTATCCAAATAGTTTCTTATTTGTCTGGAGTAATGTGGTGGTGCTCCATCTTGTTGGAATACAATATCCATATCGAATTCATTAGGATTTGCTTCGACGATTTCAGTGATGAGAGGGTCAATAGTAGTTTCCAGCAAATTCAAATACAGTTTCCCTGTTAAATTTTGATCAATAAATAGAGGTCCTACAATATGGTTTTCCAATATTCCTTTCCAAACGTAAATTTTTTCTGGATATTAGGTATGTGTTTCCCAGAAAACGTGAGGGTTGGTGTCACTCCAATAACGGCAATTTCATCTGTGAACATTGCTGTTTGAAAAAACTGTACATTCGTCACTGAAACAAATATTGTGGAGATAGGTAGGATGCCTTGCAATGGTTTCCTTCATTATCTCGCAGAATTCTGTTTTTCGATAAGGGTGATCTTCAGTTTCTTCGTGTACCATTTCAATTTTGTATTGATGATATCTATTTCTCTTCAAAAATCTCCACACAGTAGAAGGAGACACCTCACAAACATTCGCGACGGTTTAAATAGACTATGCAGGATTTACTACCATCTCACCAATTATTTCCACTTGCTGTTCTTCCGGAATAGACGGATGACCTGGAGGTTTTTGTTATATACACTACCGGTAGTTGTGAATTTGGATACAAGTTCCCTCAAATATTTTCTACAGATAGGACGATTCGGAAAACGTTCATTGAAAATCCTTTCGGTCTCGTGCTACGCATCGCACAGTAAATAAAAATCGCTTGAATTTTTTCTTCCAATGGACGATAATTGACCATATAATTGACCAACCAAAAACTAAATGAGAATATTGTAACTGAACAATGATGTTGATTGTCGTACCAAATCTTATCGGGTTGTTGGAATTTCCATATGGCAAATAAAAAGTTATATTTCTAGAAATATCGATATTATTGTGTTTGTCTTCAGGAAATTATTAAATATTCATCCATTCTGTAGTAGATATTGACTTCATATTCTAGGGTTGTGAAGTATTCAGGAGCTTCAAATTGATGTGTCACAAGACCCCCTCTTTCCATTCAATTTTTTTCCCAGTTAGCGCCCAGTCGCCATCTTCATAGTTTGATCTGTCAATTTCACTTCAAAATAAAGTTTTCATGCATTAATTTCATTATGCACGGTATTTTTCTGCAAGCAACCTCATTTTACGATAAATTGGATGTATGAGTGTTATTTTTACACTGTAACATCATCTTCATAGGTTATATTTTTCAAAAATAAATATCATTCTGGTTTTCTTTCAGAGAAGTATCCTGTCAATGACTTCACGAAAAAACAGCAGTAATAAAAAAGCAGGAAGTGACCTTGGGATTAGTTACCAGATTGAGCTGCTCGGCTTGTTCGCTTTGGAAGCTTTACAAGTAGATGATTGGGAAATGACTACAGAACAAGAAAATGCCGGAAAATTTGATGACATGGTGCTGCGGATAGGAAAAGAATATTATTTGATGCAGGCCAAATACAAAACTGGCAACAAACTTATCAGGGCAGATTCCTTTCGAGCTGATTCTGAAAACGCTGACTTCGGAATACGTTCATATTTCAATTCATTCGTCAAAATCAAAAATGATTTCGAGATAGCAAGAGTTTTCATCTGCACCAACATTGATCTGGGAACAGGAAAAGAAATATTTTGTGAAGAACCAATAATTCAAGAAAATCAAGAAATACCTTTCAGAATTATATTCAGCAAGATAGCCAAGTCATATAGGTTATTCGATACGTCGAATATATATGATCTAAAAGATTCGGAAAAATTGCAGGCCAAAGAATTTTGCAAAAAATTTCGATTCATTTATATGAATGGATCAGAACTCGACAAGGCGATTGAGAACTCGATTCGAAATCTGAACGAAGAATGGGGAGTCGGTTTTTCCAAAGAGAATTTTATCGCTAATATGAGAGACTGGTTCCATATGAAAAATCAGATGCCGCTGATAAAGGCGTACGTGAAAGCCTTTCTATACAACTGCCAGAGTAAAAAATATTTCCAGAATTTAGATTCTTATGGTGTATTATTTGATGATCCTCTACCTGTGGGAGACTACGAAATTTTGAATGTTGTTAGCGAACAACATCAGCTATTGAGTATCTTTGAAATACATGACACAATCAGAGCTACATATGGAGCAGAAAGTTCCCTATACCTGAAACAAGACAGTAATGCTGAACTTGTTCGGGAGGTGATAGATGCATTTCTGTGGCATAAATTCATGATACTTTTTGTAAATGTTTCGGGATTAACAAAATCCAAAGCGAAAGAAATTCTGAAGTTGATACATGTTATAACAACAAAATACAAGTATAAAAAGGCTGTGGTCTTATCTAAAATAACCCTAGTTGAAGAGGATGACTACCACAAAGTTCTTCAAGAAAAAATTTGTTTTGGCGATTTGAAAAATGAATTCAAGAAGTATTTGTTGAGAAAAGAAATATTTTTTCAAGGTAAAAAAACCACTCTTGAAAGCGTCATTGGAGATTCAATGAATAAAGTCAACACAATCATCAACCCAGAAACTATAATTCACTTGATAAAGGACTATAATGTAGAAATTGGCACTCAAGTGCCCAGATTAGCTGAAATTGAACAATATTACATAGAGAGAAGTTTCATTCAAATCTCAGACAGAAAATGTTATCAATTTTCTGAGAGAGAATTACTTGCGGCAGTAAATGAAAGTGGGAGAAAAGTATTTCTGATATCAAATGGTCCTGGAATGGGCAAAACTACGATATTGACAAGATTGGGTTGCTTGATTCAGGAATATCGTAATAATCATTGTCTAATCATCAGAATTAATTTGAATGAGTATACAGAATTATACAAAAAATGCTTGAAAGAACAAGATAACATAACATTGAAGAAAATGTTGAAACATAGTAAATATGAAAATTTACTCAATACGCAGTTCTCCAAGAACATATTCAATACACCCAACAGGATATTTCTGTTGATTGATGCTGTAGACGAAATAAGTCCAACTTATACAGATATCGTGCTCAACTATTTGGCCAATACTTCAAAGGAAGAAAATGTAAAGAAAATAATAGTAACTTCTAGACCACAACTAGAGGCATATATTAAGGGTAGAATGTGCTTGGAATGTTTTGATTTACTTCCATTTTCTAAGGAAAACCAGATAATGTTCTTCACCAATTTTTGGAGGAATATTACCGATCACGATTCAGGAAAATTGATTAAGAATATAATGAAAAAATTTGATAAAAGATCTTTGAAGCTGCTGGGTATACCTCTGCTGACCAGAGTTATTGCAGATATTTTTAAAGGTAGTAAAGAAACTATGAACCGGACAATAAACAAGCACAACTGTCTCATTATATTTGATTTATTCATCGAAACCAAAAAAGAAATATTCCTCAGTGACAAATGCAGGACTCAAGGAAACGTTGCAGTCGACAGAGAAATGTTGTCAGTTTTTGATAAGGCAGTTATTCAATATCAAAAACTTGCAGTTAGATTGCTGGTTGATGAAAAAGATTGGCCGTTCTTCAAAGCTCACGATACGAATTTTCCACAGATATCAGAAACAGATTTGAAAATAGGAATTTTACAGAAAGTGAACAACAATGTCGAATTCATTCACCATACTTTCGCAGAATATTTCCTTGCAAAATGTGCTTGGAATCAATTGAAGGAGACCTACGAGACAGATGAATTTTTAGAGTTTTTCTCAACGTCGGTAAGACTGAAAACTTCATCTTATTGATAAATTATTTAATTGGTTATCCTCTTTTCAACACAATGAGAAAGTTTCAAATCATAGTGAAATTTTTGTTATATTCAATTTCATTTCTTATTCAGTAGTCGCTACTGGTGATCATTAGATTTTCCAGTTATGCTTGCATGGAACCCACGAATCAGTTATGGACTGTTATCAGTTATGAACCTCATTTATCTACAAAAATAAAAATTTAAACATAACCAAAATTACGTCACTTCACTTTTGAAGTACAACCGCTAAATGAGTATTTTTTTTATTTACTAACGACGAAATGTAAGGCAAAAAGGAAATATTTGACCAAAATTACGTCACTTCACTTTTGAAGTACAACCGCTAAATGAGTATTTTTTTTATTTACTAACGACGAAATGTAAGGAAAAAAGGAAATATTTGTTTAAAGAAGTTGCTCTTATCTGTTGAAGAAGAATTTCGTAGTATAGATATAAGGGGAATATATTCTGCTGGTGGTGAGAATATTACGCTGAAATTAAATAAAGGTATTTTTTGTGGATATTCAGAGTTCATCAGTAACATTTTTGAGGATTGTTACATTTCAATATCTGAAAAATATATAATTTCAAGAAAGAGAGAACTTTTTAATTCACCACGATGAGTTACTGAGTAATTCCTAGTGTCTTTAGGGTGCCTTTATAACCTTCCACAATCTGACAAATTGCTGAAGCTAAATCAATAGAGGATCTGCCAAAATGTAATGAAGGGCAAACTGAAAAGTTCACTTCAAAAAGTTACTGCGTAATATAAACAACTGAAAAGTCCAATTAGTCAGTTACTTGTCATATTCATAAAATGATGCCTACAAATTGAGATAATCGATTGGAAAAAAGTCAATATTCATGCATAGCTTTCTCTAGTGGTCGAAGTTTCGGTAAATAATCTTTTTCCGTTTTCAAAACCTGAAATTCACTATAGAACTTTCGCCTCAAATTTTGAGAGCTCTAATTTTTTTGACTTATGTCAAAAGAATGAAATGTCCAGATGCCATATGCATGAATACATATATTGGTTGTTTTTGAAAATTCAGTTGATGTTCATATTTCCGTTTTCGACCTCTCTTCTCAGTAATGGCAGGTAAGATCCATTTCCATAAAGCTATTCGAAATACTCTTGTTACCTGCTAAAAGAACATATCGGATTCATCGAGTTTTCTGATATTTTCATTGATTTTTTTAATGAAAAATTTAGATTCACTCCATTCTATAGCATGATAACCAGGTGATTTTAAAATATGCTCCGCTATCCGATCTTGCCATCTGTCTTCTATAGGTTTCACCTATATAACTTTCTCCACAGGAACAAGGTATATTGTGAATACAAGCTTTCGTTTTTTCAACCATATTTTCGGGCTTAGTTTATGTGTTGGTAGTTCAAAAAGTTGTTCTTCATTATACCTAGAATCGATGCCTCTCAGACAAATCGGAAAGATAAGGTATGACATTAGTTGTGAGGAATGTGTATGGTTGTTGGGTTGTTGTGGTGATTGTGGGATATGTTGTGTATTGCTTTCACTACCTCATTTAGAGCTCTTTCTACAAACTGCTTCGGATACGAGTTTTGGTCCAAAACTGTTTTAATGATAGTTATGTCCTCTTTTATTTCATGAACTTAATTGTAAACTGTCTTTGACCTATCATACAAACAGCTAACTATACTTCTTTGGCGTGAGCATGGTAATAAGATTTATAGTGAAAGCGTTTATTAATATGAGTTTTCTGTCAATAAACACTCGTATCAAGAGTATTTATCATAACATCGAGAAAAGGTAGTTGATTATGAACTTTCCTCTCTAATGTGAATTTTATCGTGTGTACTCTCAAGTTCAAATGATTCAAGAGAACATTGATATGGTCCTGGGTTATGGTCCCAGACAGCGAATACATCATCGACATATCTCCACCATATCTTTGAATCATTCTGGTATGTTTCGATGCATATTTTTTCAAAATGTTCCTTAAAAATGTTACTCAGAATCGGTGGCAAGGATGAGTCCATTGCCATTTCAAATTATTGTTGATAAAAATCCTCCTTGAACTGGAAAAAAAAAGTCGGTATATAATTTCAGAAGCTCTAAAATATCTTCTACATTGGGTTACGTTCTATTTTTCAGATTACGATCATTTTCAGATTGTGAAAGGTTATATACCCATAAAAATAGTAGGAAGTATTAAGTTCTTCACACAAAAAATTTCTTACGAAGAATATTTACTGAGTAAATTGGAAGAATTTTTCAAAAAAAGTTTACTATTCACAGTTAACCTGTCGTATTTGGGCATATATACCCAGATACTTCATCTATAGTTTCTGAAGCTGTAATCTGCCTCCGCCTCGGAAATTGGTAAAAAATCAAGAGTAACTAGCAGTTTTTTTATCGATTCACCTCATTTTGTAAAGTTCAGACATGTCCGTTTCCGTTGTCTTGTCTTTCAGGTTAACAACACTTATAGTGCGGACCAGTTTTGAAGGTCACTTTCATATTTAATTTTTCAGAAGTTTGAACCGATATGTTGATGTATGCTGATTCACCTGCTGGAAAGTCTAAAATCAACGGAGATACTATCTAAATTTACTCATCCAGTTTGATGACTTTTTTTCGATCTCATATCTCAATGGGAATTTGACCAGTCCATTGACAAGAAAATGTAGTCCTGCCATTTTTTGTTGTGGACAATGGTGTGAGTTGTCAGGGATATATCTGGTGTTAGTATTCTTCTATAATTTTTGAATTCGATCAAATGAATTGCAATATTGGTACTGCCCGGTACCCAATAGGCTGAAACAGCTGTCTACCGGTGGCTCTTAAATTGAAATCAATATGGAAATGATCAAAAAGTACNCAGTGATGGCGGTTTGAGTTTTATAAATGATTTCTAAATACCTTGAACTTTTCCTTTTTGGTGCGGTGAATTGATCTGGATGTTTCTTCTTTCAACTCCAATTTTCCCAATTGGTACTATGGGTAAGTTCAATTGTCTGCTTTTCACTATATTTTTTTATTTATAATCGAATCTATATGTATTTTAATAGGTTTGATTTATCAATTCTCAATTTTGATTCAATTTTCAAAAATTTTACGTGATTCTCGTTCCAGCGTTGATCATCGACCCCTTTGGCTTCCCCTTTCAACAAACTCCCAATCTCCTTGGCAAACAATTTTGGAAAATTCTAGATGCTGTCAAAACCTTCTAATTTATCTGTAACTGAAAATAACGAGTATTTTCCGAAGCATAGTGGATGAGTTAGTCACGAAGAGAAAATTTCCTGAATCCACGACTCTTCAGAAAGACGAAGACTCGAAATTTATAGCCTTCCATACAAACCAAAATTCGTTCAAATTTGAAAATGAATGAATATGAACGTGGTTCGTGTTGGGAAACCCGAAAAAAAATGAAAATGTGTTGGTTAAACTAAGCTGACTGTAATGGTTCACTATAGGGAACGTATTTCACATATTCGGTTGCATAGATCAGATAAATCTAATGAGAAATGTTGAAATTATTGAGAATGGTACTTGAAAACACGTTTTCAGATGCTTTCGAGAGTTTAGAACTCGAAAAATGTGGAAATAGTACTGTGAACGATGATAGGGGCACATTCTTAATAGTCCACTTTTCGCACTTGTACGTAATTACAGATGAAAACAGGTAATCCATCAGAGAGCAATTTACAATAACAAAATACTAGGAATTGATTCAAGGAATTATGTCGGATAATTATTCGTTCAAATATTCATGAAGAACTGTAACCTAGCTGACGCGAGATGAGCGTCGAGAGACAGTATTTTTGTTCCAGTGTGTGAAAAGGTTTCAATTTCACCTATCAAATAATCAGTTTCGAAAGTGAAAAAACATTTAATTCGTCTTTTTAGGAAGATTTTGTCGATATTCACTGCATCAAATTAAAAAAAAAACTTAGTGAAATAGGAAAAAGGTGTTACTTGTGTCTTAATCCCATTAAAAATGTTAAGATGATGTGTAAAATTGGATGTTCTCATCGATTTTTCATTTTTTGTTCCAGATGCTGATGTATGGTGAATATGGGTTGTTCAGCACATTTATGGAATGTATTCTATCGAAAGAATGGAACAGTATAAACGAGAAAACTCTGGTCGCTTGCAGTGAAATACCCGTACTAGCTGACGCGAGATGAGCGTCGAGAGACAGTATTTTTGTTCCAGTGTGTGAAAAGGTTTCAATTTCACCTATCAAATAATCAGTTTCGAAAGTCAAAAAACATTTAATTCGTCTTTTTAGGAAGATTTTGTCGATATTCACTGCATCAGATTAAAAAAAACTGAATGAAATAGGAAAAGATGTTACTTGTGTCTTAATCCCATTAAAAATGTTAAGATGATGTGTAAAATTGGATGTTCTCATCGATTTTCCATTTGTTCCAGATGCTAATTTATGGTGATTATGGGTTGTTCAGCACATTTATGGAATGTATTCTATCGAAAGAATGGAACAGTATAAACGAGAAAACTCTGGTCGCTTGCAGTGAAATACCCGTAGAAGATTATTTTCGAGTTTGAAATTATTCAAGAACAAACGCTCGGTTTATAATCGTGTTACAAATCGTTCATCGCACAGTGGGAGATTTAGTAAAGAAATTCCCCTATCGAATATGAAACATCGAAATGAGGTTGATCTCAAATTGAGAGGTAGTCATCAACCTTTTCAAAAATTTTGGCAGTTTTGAAGTCTGCATTGAGGAGAGAAATTATAGAAAATATATAACTCACCTCACCCAATCATCCTACACAATACATTTGTCACAACTATTACGGCCTAGGCTCCATATGGATATTTCCCGTGGTCTGTTGATACAAATTGGTTTTATCCAAAATAGTGATTACATAAAGACTGAACTGAAAGTATTATCTGTTCAGTCCCAGACGATGTTCTACTACCTAAAGCTGAATACTATGGACCAAGGATAAAAACTCTGTCATGTCATCCTACTCAATGGACAGAAACCGATGAGTATTCGACAATGTTATCTAATGCAGTACATCTTCTTTCATGAACAGTGTTTCAAGAGTAAGTATTATTGGGCCGCAAATATATCTGATCGAATCGATCAAATCGATATCGAATAATTTATTTTCTACATCCCAACTCAGTATTACTGCTCTCAATAAATGGTATGCACCATCGGATTGTTTTTATGTGAATTATCTACAACACTACTTAGAAAATTTAATGTAGTACTGGCGAAGAAGAATATTATGGGGACCATGCCGCTCCTCAGATAACTCATCAGTATCTCTAGCCGTGCTTCCATGAAAACTATAGATGCATGTTACGTCAATGTATGTATTGTCTTCCCTATTCCAAGAAACATTTAATGTTCATGAACAGGGAATAACCAAATCAGCTGAAGACACAAATTCAACGAAATAATGACAAGTGTATTTGGAAACATCTGCTGTGGTGTTAGTTGGTGATATTAATATTAATTTGTTAAACTATGACTCTCGCGACACTCAACTATTCACTGCCCTAGTTTCTAGTTTCGATATGAATCAAATTATAGAAAATTCTACTCGGATAACAACAACTTATGAATCTCTGACCGTATATTACTTATGAAATCAGATTGATGATGAAAACCCGTCACAGAGCTCATGCCAAATATCTTAAAGAAAAGACAGCAGCTAGACATTACTATGTAACTTTACGCAACTACGTCAGTGACGCATTAAAACGTGAAAAAACAACATATATACAATTTGTTTTGAAAAAAATAAAAACAATTCAGAAAAGACTTGGAGAAATCTTGTATTGACTGTATAAATTTCAAGATGATTTCTTTAGTGATACACTGTATTGATGAAGTTAAACATAGTTTCAACGAATCCTTCAGACAGAGTAATTTTCCAGATGTTTGGAAGGTTGATAATATAATTCCAATTCCGAAAAAGATGACACCTAACACGTTCAGTGACCTACGCCCCATCAGCATTCTGCCCTTATTCTCTAAAATATTCGAGAAAAATGTTTCCTTTCAAGTAAGAGCTTTTCTTGAAGAACATCGAATACTCCCGTACGAGCAGTGTGGATTCCGCAAAAAACACGGAACACAGACTGCCCTCTTGAAAGTAATCGACGATCTTGCGAGATTCAGAGATCAATCAAAAGTCACCATTTTAGAACTGCTTGATCAAAGTAAAACTTTCGATTTAGTTAATTTCGATTTACTCCTCAGCAAGCTCAAGTTCATAGGATTCGATGACATTTCTCTTAAATGGATGACGCTATCTCATAGGCCAATCCCACAGGGTCAAACTGAATGATTACTCATGGTCATCCGGTCATCCATAAAAGAAACAATCTTAGATGTCCCGCAGTGAAGTATTTTACGGGCCTTGATGTTTTCAGTATTTATTTTTGATTATCTCACTTTCTTATCACATTGTCAAATACATTTTTACCAATTTAAACCAATTTAAACCAATCGGCAGATTGGTTTCAACTACTTTGTTGCTAATACTCAAGGTGTATTTGAGTATACTCCTGGTGAGCAACAAATTCGAAACACTTTTTGGTTCTAAGGAAAACCAATTTCAAGATAGCAAGAACGAGAAAAATGAAAAAAAGAATTAAAAATCTGCCAATCGGTTTCAACTATTTTGTTGCTGAAACTCAAGGTGAATTTGAGTATACTCCTGATGAGCAACACATTTGAAACACTTTTTATTCCAAGGAAAACCAGTTTCAAAAAAGTAAGAACGAGGATGATGAAAAAAAATAAAATCAGCCGATCGGTTTCAACTATTTTGTTGCTGATACTCAAGGTGT